CTCTCTGATAAACAGCCTCGTCCTGCTTTAGAAAAGACAAAACAACCACAGATTTAAGAGAACAAGGGCGAAGCATCAGAGAGAATATGAAGACTGAATCTGTCTCTTAAGCTCTCTGATGCAATATTGGCAGGAAGTAATCTACCAGCTCCCTCCCTGAATGAAGGGATGAGAATATGTGTTGTGTTAAAAAAGGTCATGCTAAAACTACGCCTAAAAGCAGGTTGCAAATTAAAGACCAGTGGGTTCCTAGTAGGGCTGCAGGATATGGTAAAAACATTATAATGTGATTATCTGGACAGATATTTGAGATATGACTCACGGTTACTGTGGAAATTATAATTTCTGCATCAAAAATTTCCGTTTTCACAAAAAAAGTACTAAAATCTTGACGATGTGACATCTGTTGGGGTCTGTAGTACCAAAGAAACACATATTCTTACATGTGGAGAATCAGATCTGTAGGCCAGAGCTTCTCTGCAGCGCTACAGTACTTCACTATAATAAGACACTGCACCTTACTGTGAAATGGGATTTAATGACCAGTTGAGAACCACTGCTGTAGACCTGTAATGTAGGTCCAAAACCAGTCATATAAAATCATGTTCTACCTCCAGATGTGAGCATTAAGCAGAGGGACATTACAGTCAGTTAGGGCGGTTATTAAAGAGACTGTCAGGAATTAATCAAGGTTGTTTTCCAGGTTGTTTTCCAGGACCTTTCCTTGACAATACAGGACAGCAGTTGCTCCCAAACGGTGGACATTTTTCCCAGCAGCTATTTTGACATGAAGCAGTCGGGAAAACAGAGTTGTTACCAATGATAATAATAGTATATAAGAGCAATAAAAAGAGTAGCAGAGCCTCTGCTGTGAAAAAGGTCCATTGCGTACAGTTTTCCTCTAACCGTAACATTAATTTGGCCAAATTTTCCAGGTTATTTGGCCATTTTAGTCCATTTGCAGGTGTTTTGATGGCTGGAAAATGAGTCTCTACATTTCCAGGAACCCTGACTAATACACTGGGGATGGCTAATAGTGCAAAGTAAGATTGCATGCATGTTGTGGGACTCCCTGTCAGCCCACACTGAACAAACAGTTCCCATCTTTCCTACAAACATCTTGTGCTTTGCCTTCAGTGTGGACTGTAACTACACACACTGAGCCGACTGAACGTTTGGTTCATCCTCGTCTTAAAGTGAGTTTATGACGGTGACGGATCTTTAATAAAGTGAATTAGATCATATAATAGCATTGTTTTTTTTACACATAATCCGAGATGAAGATGCAGGAAAATAGAAATATATTGCTTTATTTTAGAGATCTCTTATGAATCATGTTTTTAGGGGAGCTCATGTCTTATTAAGCTCTCATGTGCAATGATATCTGTCCTTGAGTAAGTAAGCAGACCTCTAATAAGTCTGCAACACATAAAGAAACCTGCACGTAAATATTCATTCAGCATCTTTTGCACTCTGTCTACTGTCCACAAATGTTATTGTTTAACTGTATATAGTACTTTATGTCTGTTCTGTCATTAAAGTATACGTCAGCAGGCGGTATCTTTACATTTGGTGATAAATAAACACATATAAGGACGTGTAGCAGTTCTAACAGTAAAACCAAGTCATTGCAGTGAGCAGAAGAGCTGTAAGCAAAAGAAACGTCGTCTTAAAATGTACTTTTACATAATCTGAGCGGCTGGGACGTTTCTGTAAAGTCATATTTTAGATACATTTCTGTAAAACCTGATCTCAGTGACACAGGTGACATCAAACCAACCCACTCCCTCTATGTAGTGAGAGAGGAGAGGAAGCGCCCGATCACTATTGGCCTTGTCAGAAAAAAACATGCTTACATTAATACACTTCCCTATGTATTCTAGTACTGTAGACAGGTTTACGCCCAATAACTGCATGTTAATGTAACGTTATCATACTTTATTGATCATGACGCCATCCTGTGGAGTTCAGATGGGGAGAACAACATAAAAACCTATGAATTAAGTTAAACTGAGTGAATTTCCTTACATATTTCCCAGTGTTTTATATTATTTTTGATATTTTATTGTCCTTTTTTTACCAAACATTTATCTTCTAGTAACATATAACAGGTTTTATAAAATAAAATGCCCTATATATGACGCAGAACACCAGATTCAGTCTCTTATTGGTCAGAAAAACATAAAAACCTATGAATTAAGTTAAACCGAGTGAATTTCCTTACATATTTCCCAGTGTTTTATATTATTTTATCTTATATTTGATATTTTAACCATTCCTCACATCACTGAAATCACATCCTACGTCTCTTTTTTTGCCAAACAATCCTCAGATATATCTTCTAGTAACATATTAAAGGTTTTATAAAAACAAATGCCTTATATATGACACCAGATTCAGTCTCTTATGTCTCTTAACATATAAAAACCTCCCCTTTCTCT